TTACTTTTGTGTGTTTTTGTCAGGCAGAAATTTATTTATACCCCCTGAGGGTGTAATAGATTAGCAGAACTGAAGAGCATTTTGATTATAACTAACTGAATGATTGGATGTTAGACAACTTGTGTTATGATAACTATTTAAAATGCTGTCAGCTTTATCAGAAAGACATGTCTCCTAGACAAGGACATGGTTTCATTTAAAATGTGAAAATCGGCTCAAAAGTCTCTTTGTTTGGGAAAAGCTATGACTTAAAAAGTATCATAAAAAAGGCATTCAGGTGTAATCAGGAGCGCAGCACTTAATGATGGAGACAGCTCCTGGTTTCTGTGTGTTGTAACTGAATTCAAAGTTTGTTTTTTTGTGTTTTTACATTTTATATCAGCCAGGAAACTACATCTTAAGCACAGGTTCTGTCAAAGCAGGTGGTTATTATTATCATACTGTGAGATTACTTGCAAAATGCCTTCTGGTCATTGTGTTAATGTTTTGGAGCGAACATCACAACCTTTGGTTTCAGAGGATCAATGGAACATTTATGGGCAGAGCTGAAGGGAGTTTGAAATCAATGCAGCCTTCAAATCAGCTTTTTCACTGGAAATTGGCCAAAATTCAAGCAAACTTCTATGTTTAGTTTGAGGGAAAAACTGAAATATTTGCTTCAATTCATAAAGTTTAAAGCAGAAGAAGATTGTCCTTCATTCAGGCCATGGGAAATCAAAACATTAAATCATCACAGCAGCTGGACTTCACTTCTTGTAGTTGAAGCCATTTTCTTCTCCATCCTAAGAGCTTTTTAAACTGTTCAGGATGTGCTGCACTGCATGTCTTCAGAATGTCACCACTGATTTATAAAATATTTGAAAAATATCTTCATATTGCATCCAAGAAATTGACTTCTGGAGATTCAGTTTTTGCCTTTTTAATGTTCCTTTGTCTGCACTGTCAATCACTCCAATAATCCACACTGGTTCTTTCTCCATTTCAGCTGTTTTTAACACATTTCAAATGGACAAAATATTTACATCTATATAGGTGACTTTGTACTGCAAATATGAATCTTTTCTTTGCAAAATGGAACCTGTGACAGTTCTGTTTCTCCTCAGTGATGGTTCGACGTGTTGCTGTCATCGGAGCAGGAAGCTCCGGTCTGGCCTGTATCAAAGTCTGCTTGGATGAAGGCTTGGAGCCTGTCTGCTTTGAAAGCAGTGACGACATTGGTGGTCTGTGGAAATTTAAAGTAGGAACATTTTTTTTTCTATGGATTCATTTAAGCTGTTTCCCAAGTTTATGAAAGATGAGCAAACCTTGTCTACACAGTGGAGATGGTGCAAGGCCACAGTGCCTTGTGAAAATACTTGTAGATCGTGATCTTCTTGCATATTGTTTTACTGCAACTCAAAAAATAAAATTCTATCAGTATTTTATTGAGAAGATCAAGACAAAGTGGTACCAAACTGGAGTGGTTGAAAAACGATTCATAGGCTTGTAATTATTATTTTTTTTAATCTGAAGAGAGGAAAATTATTTGACAAATTTTGATTCTGAATTTAATAAAGGTGTAGACTTTGACTGAAGCATACAGACCTACAAATTAATGTCAACATCTGTAGATCTATAGCCTTTATTTCATAGTCATTGTTGTCTTGGATGCTAAAGTCATTTTCTTTTGCAATCTTAAGCAGATTCTCTTACAGGAACTTCCTGCTGTCAGCTCCATCTAGTTTTCTGTAAACTAATATTCAATATTAGTTGTATTTCAGCCAGAGCTCCTTCTTCCAAACTGCTGGAATATTAACTTATTTCTGAAGGCAATCAGTTG